AGAGCTTCTTGAGGTACCCGAGCGTGGGGCCCTTGGTGACGTCCACCAGCGGGTGCGCGCGCAGGTACGCCGTGAGCTTCTCTGTGATGGGGCGGATGCGGATGATGTCCTCGTTGCGCAGCACAAACGTGGCCTCCAGAGCCAGGCAGCCCGCACGGGAGTAGTTGGTCACAACCTGAATGTGAGGACGGAGGGAGAGGTAGATAGGGAACAGGAAGGGAAGGGAGGGCCAAAAAGGGGGTTGGTGTGTGATGAAGTACGAAAGGAGGGAGAGCAGGGGGGACGGGGGGCAGGGAGGGCAGAGCGAGCAAGAGGGATGGGAGCACTGACAGTGGATTGGAAGAGAAGGGAGAGCAGTAGGGATGGGAGGCAACGTCACTGACAGCGGTGTTGAAGATGTAGTTGGGCACGACGATGGCGAATTGACATTCACTTTTAACAGCCTAAAAGAAGTTGTCAGGCAACTCACAGCGGTGTTGAAGATGTAGTTGGGCACGACGATGGCAAATTGACATTCACTTTTAACTGCCTAAAAGAAGTTGTCAGGCAACTCACAGCGGTGTTGAAGATGTAGTTGGGCACGACGATGGGCGAGTTGTCGTCGGCCTCGAGCTTGGTCTGCAGGAAGCCGATCTCTCTCACGCGCCCCGTCACGCTGCCCGCCTTGATCTTGTCGCCCACCACAAACGGCTGCGTCAGGAACAGGATGAGCCCGCCAAAGAAGTTGGTCACTATCTCCTTGGACGCGAACCCAATCGCCACACCTGGGAAAGTTTGTGGTGAGGGAGGAAGGGGAAGGGTGGGAAAGGTGAAAAGGGAGAGTGGCATTTGAGTGGGCACACAACAGGATGAGCCCGCCGAAGAAGTTGGTCACTATCTCCTTGGACGCAAACCCGATGGCCACACCTGGGGAAGATTGTGGCGAGGGAGGGAGGGAGGGAGGGAGGGAGGGAGGGAGGGAGGGAGGGAGGGAGGGAGGGAGGGAGGGGGGAGGGTGGGATAGGTGAAAAGGGAGAGTGGCGTTTGAATAGGCACACAACAGGATGAGCCCGCCAAAGAAGTTGGTCACTATCTCCTTGGAGGCGAACCCAATCGCCACACCTGGTGGGGGGAGATGGGGGACGGGAAGGTTAGGGAAAAAAGGGGGGGTTTAGGAAAAGGGAGGGTGTTGAAGGGGTGGGGGCGCGTGGGAGAGCAGAGGAAAGAGTGGCCTTTTAGGGGGACATTAAGACGGTCACTATCTCCTTGGAGGCAAACGCAATGGCCACACCTGGGGGGTGTTAATGGGGGAGGGGACAATCAGAGAAAAAAGGGGGGAATATAGGAAAATGGAGGGGTACGACAAAAGGGGGGAAAGGTTGAGTGGGCTCAGACTTATGGCAGGAGAGGTTTGGCAGATGGACGGGCTGGCGGTTTCGCGTGGAGAGAGAGAGTAGGGATGGGAGAGGAGCAGCGATGAAGCAAGGGGTGCGAGACTAGGAGAGAATGAGGGGAGAGGGGGACGACAGCTGCTGCTGGGTGGTTGTGAGCGGACTTGCTGGGACGTGGCAGGTAGAATGATTGGGAGCGATGTGGACTTGGGAAGAAAACATGACGCTCTCACATCACATCACCCATTTGAGATGCCTCTCAACACAACACCCACCTGAGATTCCTCCCACAGCGATGAGCGACTTGAGGCTGAAGCCCATCATCTCTGCCAGCGTGCCCACCGCCGCCACCCGCAGCAGCAGCGTCAGCAGCTTGCTCACGTTCGCCAGAACCGGCTGCGGGTGGGGGATGGGGGAGCATGGAGCAGGTATGGAGGAGAATGGGCGGGATGATGGGCATGGGGGCCAGGGAGGGGGCATGGAGAGGGCCAAACGCACGCCCCACTCACTTATTTCGTCCAGCTTGCCACCCATGCTCCACTTTGTCTTAACGCCCCAAACCCCATCTCGCCCTCACTCACCTTATCATCGGAGTGAGAAGCAGCCACAAGCTTCATGGCTCCGTCCTTCTACCCCGTAAGGAAACCCGTAGCTGCTGCCACTGCCATCATTGCTACCGCTGCTACTGTTCGCACCTTGTCCCTCATCTATCCCTCTCATCTCCCCCATCTTGCCCACCTTGACCTTACACCCCATCTCGCCCTCACCTTGTCCCCCATCGTGAGCAGCAGCCACGAGCTTCAAGACTCGGTCCTTCCACCCCGTCGCAAACCACGTTGCTGCAGCCACCGCTGCCGCCACTGCTGCCACTAGCCCAATGTGTCCCTCTTCCCGAGCCCATCTTCTCAGCTTGACCCCAAAGCCCCATCCCTCGTCCCTGCCTTGCCCCTGCGCCTCACCTTATCCTCGGGGTGAGAAGCAGCCACGAGCTTCAAGACGCGGTCCTTCCATCCCGTCGCGAACCACGTAGCAGCCGCCACCCATGCCACCAGCCGCGCCTTCCCCACCATTGCTGCTGTCACGGGCAGCTTCAGCAGCGGCACCAGCAGGCGCAGGCTGGCAAATACAGGTGGGGGAGACAGGGTGAGAGGGGGGAAACGGTGATTGTAGCAGGCGGGGGGCATAGGGGGATGGATAGGGGAAGGCCACACATTTTCCCCACCATTGCCGCTGCCACTGGTAGTTTCAGCAGTGGCACCAGCAGGCGCAGGCTGAAAGCACTTACAAGAAGGGATAGGGTGATTGACAAGGAGAGTGGCAGAGGATGGAGCAGCGCGAAAGGCGGGAGGAGATTGAGAAGTGGGGAGGAGAGTGAGAGGTGGGGAGGAGAGTGAGAGGTGGGGAGGAGAGTGAGAGGTGGGGAGGAGAGTGAGAGGTGGGGAGGAGAGTGAGAGGTTGGGAGGAGAGTGAGAGGTGGGGAGGAGAGTGAGGAGTGGGGAGGAGAGTGAGAAGTGGGGAGGAGAGTGAGAAGTGGGGAGGAGAGTGAGAAGTGGGGAGGAGAGTGAGAGGTGGAGGAGGAGAGTGAGAGGTGGGGAGGAGAGTGAGAGGTGGGGAAAAGGAGAGTGAGAGGCGGCGAGGAGGAGAGTGAGAGGTGAGGAGGAGAGTGAGAGGTGGGGAAAAGGAGAGTGAGAGGCGGCGAGGAGGAGAGTGAGAGGTGAGGAGGAGGAGAATAAGAGGCGACTGACTGGCGGGTGAGGAAGAAGGAGATGAGGACGAACTGCAGCGGCCCCACGAGCGCACCGAACATGCTGTCCTGAAACTCCTCCTCCGTCACCTCGTCGTCGCGCATGATCAGCGTCCCCCACACGCTGCCAGAAGCCGAGGGGGAGAGGGGAAAGGGCAGGTTGTGGGAGGGAAGGGAGGGCGGATGAATGCACCAAACACGCTAAGTTGCGGAGGCGGTGAGTGGGCACATCTGAGGGTGAGTGCACCGAACATTGTGCATGGTGCATTCGGCAGAGAGCATTGTGCATGGGGCATTGGGCATGGGGCAGTGGGTATGGGGCGTCGTGCTTGAGGCATGGGGCATGGAGGATTGGACAGCACTGATCATGGTGCGAGGTGGGGGGACATGGTGCATTGAGAATCTTCTCCTACTGATTGACGAGGCGGCATACCTTCTCACTGGTTGACGAGGCGGCATATCCTCTTACTATTTGACGAGGCGGCATGTTGTCTTACTAGTTGACGAGGCGGCAGATCTTGGGCGCGTTGAAGAAGATGGCAGCAGTGGCGAGCGCGATGATGGTCTCTCTCAGGGCCAGCACCACCTGATGGGGGGTGTGCATGCGTGCACACGTATACACACATCCACGTACACATGCACACATGCACGCACGCATGCAACGCACGCATGCACGCACACATGCACACAGACCCGCGCGCACGCACACGCATTCGCACACACGCATGCGCAGGCACGCGCGCGCGCGCGCACGCACACAGATACATACAGACATTAAGGAAAGGCACAAGGGAAGGCATGTCTTGCATGGTCTATGTATCTCCTCCCCATTCCGTTCTTCTCGAAAATGCAATTTACTAACCCTCCCTTCGCCGTCGTCCCCACATTCCCACCGTCCCCACAATTCCCATGCTCCCCCATCCCGCGTCCTCCCCCCATTCCCATTACTTCCCCCCTCTCCTATTCTTTCCCCATCCTTCACAGTTCTTCCCCATGCCTCCGCGCCTCACGGTCAGCGCTGTGAGCCCATGCTGTCGGTCATTCCCCATCCCCCCCCCCCATCCCTTCCTCCCCACATTCCCCATCCACTCCCCATTCCCCATCCTTCCCCTTCCACCCACCCCTCCCCACGCCTCCGCGCCTCACCGTCAGCTCCGTGAGTCCCATGCTAGCGGCCGTCCCGGCCGGCACGAGCGCCGAATACGCCGCAACGGCCACGCGCGTCAGCAGCCCGCCGTCCGCCACCGCCGCTGGAGCGGCGGCAGCGGCGCACACTGTCGGTCGCCGCGACGGAAGGGGCGCGCGGAGCGGGCGGCATTTGGAAGGCGCGAGGGGGAGGGGAGAGGCTCGGAGTGGTGCCGAGAGGCGCAGGGAAGCGCGGGGCGACGCGGCGAGCTGCGGGGGGAGAGGGGAAAGAAAGGGGGGAGGGGGGAGAGAAAAGGGGGGAGTGGGTGGGGGGGGGAGAGGGGGGGGGGGGGGGAGGGGGGGAAGAAAAGGGGGACGGGGGAGTGGGGGAGAGGAAGAGGAAAGAAGGGGAAGTGTGAGTGGCGGTGGAAAGATGAGGAACGAGTGGAGAGCATTGGGGAATGGGTAGGGGACGGTGGAGGAATAGCGCGAGACAAACAGTCGCTGCGATCGAGTGGAAGCACGAACAAGCAAAAACGCGTGACAGCTGAGTGTGAAGCTAAGTGGCAATGCTGCTACGGCCGGGTGACATTCTAGGAAGGGGACAGCATGCAAGTTATGTCCATGGCGATAGGCTTCTACGAGCCAAGTGTTTTCGCCGCAAGAGAGCGGCGAAGGCTGGAATGAGAAGATGGACCCGCGGCGAGGGGGGGAATGCACGGAGGCAAGAGAGCCGCCAAGGCGGGAATGCAAGGCGAGACCATAACGGAGGACGAAGCACGTTTCCGTGGCGCCTTAAAAGAAAAGGGAAAGGAAGGGGGGAGGAATTTTCTCACGGAACGACGATTCTCTCCGCCGCACACGGCGGCAGCGACGGCGCGGTTCACGGAGAGCGACGACGCAACAGCGGAAGCCATGGCTGAACGAACGACGCGCAGGAAGGCGGGAGACCGGAAGTAGAATGTAATTACCCTACGTTGCCAAGCAACCCAGTTCGTACTAGGAAACTAATGATCAATTTGCAGCAATCAAATGTACGGATACATATTGGGCTCAGCATGAACAAGGGCCTTCCATTTGATGAACGATGGGTCCATCGCGACCAATTTCCAGCCCATACCTCGATTTCCCTCCCAGACCAATTTCGGGTGCCGTGCCGAGCCGAAGCTAGTGCACCAGTTGACTGAGGTCGGCACTGCCAACGGTCCAGATCACCTGTTTCTTGGTGCTCCTGATCTGAAGGGCGAGTGATGTGCTGGCTTCGTTTGATATGACTGGTTGGCTGCATGCATGGCTCTCGTGGGTTGGCTGAGAAGCTCGCAGATGATCTTTCTTTGATTTTCGCAGGGCGGGAAGCCGTTCCAATATCGAGGAACGGTCAAGACCAACTGACAAAGTCGTGAGCTAAGAAGCACAGAAACAAGAGTAACACTAAAGGAGGGAGGGAAATCAGTAACTTACACTAGATTCTCTCCAGCGTAGGAAACCCGTATGTGCAACGTGTTACGAGTGCAATGGAGTGAGCGAACGAGGATTGCACTATCTAAGCAAGAGTACAATGAGCTAAGATATAGCGAAACTACAGTGGTAACAGTAATGTGTGGAAAATGGGGTGCACGACGGGCCTAGCGCCGAGGTTGGGAAATGTCGAGGCGGAGATCCGGAGCGCGGGTTACCAACCGAACCGTGAGGTTGGGTCGCATTGTGAACAGTGGCGGGAATAGTGTCGAGGCGAGTGTCGCGAGTGGTAACGAATTACTGTTGGGTGCTGTTGGCGGGAACAGTGGTGTACGCGCTGGGCAGGGACGCGAAGTAAGGAAAATGAGTTTTCCTTACACTACCCCCCCCCCCCTCAAGGAGGCCCTCCTTACGAAAGCGCATGTACGTCCCGAAAATTTTGGCTGCGCAGATACTCGGTGAGGACGGGGTGGTTTTCAAGTCTGTCCAGGGGAACCCAGCTGTCTTCGGTGGGCGTACGATCTCTCCAGCGGATCAGAAACTCGATCCTTCGAGCTCCTCGTGAATCACGAACTCGGTGGCTCAGAATCTTCTCGGGCGTGATGATTGGCTCGATTGGCGGCCGTGTCATGCTGGCAGGGCGGTTGCGAAGCAGTTCGCTGGTAGATGGTACGTAAGGGCGGAGTAAACTGACGTGGAAGGATGGGCTGACGTACCAGTCAGCAAGGAGGAGGAGGTGGGTGGTGACGGGTGTGATCATGTGGCTTATGTGAAATGGCCCGCAATATCGGGGGCGGAGTTTTGGGGTGATGGGCAGGGGGAGGTTCGGGGTGTCGAGTAAAACCAGGTCGTCGGAATGGTAGGTGACAAGTTGGCGGTGGCGGTCGGCGTTGCGTTAAGCGTTAATGTTCGATTTTTTTATTGCGTTTGCTGCTCGGGTCCGTGCTGCTTAAAATTTCGGCGAACTGTTGCACCGGGATTTGGGGTCATGGGTACTGTGGGGTCTTGCTCGTAGTTCAGGTAAAACGGTGACCGTTGGGTCGTGGCGGATGGCGAGTTATTGTATGCGAACTCGATGAGTGGCAGCTGCTGTTCCCGGGTGGTTGGGTCGTCGCACGTGGCTCGAATGAGTTGCTCCATGGTCTGGTTTGTCCGTCGGTCTCGGGGTGGTACGAAGAACTAAACTGTAGTCGCGTGCCGAGCTGCTGCCACAGGTTTCCGCCAGAAGTTGCTGGTAAATTTCGTGTCGCGATCGCTGATGATCGCTGCTGGTATATTGTGCAGTCGAACGACGGTGGAGATGAAAAGGCGTGTTGTTTCTTCGGCTGTGATCGATTTCATGCATGCTCCAAAATGTGCCATTTTCGTCAGCCGATCGACGACAACCAGGATTGCGTCGTTTCCACTTGCTCCAGCCGATAACCCCGTGACGAAGTCCATCGTCACCTGCTGCCAAGCACGCTCTGGGGGTGGTATCGGCTGCAACTGTCCTGCTGGCCACTTCTGTGACGACTTCATGACCTGGCAAGTGGGACACGATGCCACGTGTCGCTGTACGTCGGTCAACATTTCGGGCCAGTAATAATACCGCTGCAGCTGCTGCCGTGTTTTCTCTACTCCGAAATGACCTGAGGTAACTCCGTCGTGTGCCTCCTATAGCAGTAATTCCCATAGAAGTGTGTACCCCAGTACCCAGATGCGGTCGGTGCCAGTTTTTATGTAATAAACTCCCTTTGCTGCTGCGAACTGCTGCGAATTTCCTCCTGTGAAGAATGGATCCGTCTGGTACCTGTGGGTAAATAGTCCTGTCAGTAGTGGGCTGGTCTGGGCAAGTAGTATTGCATGGATCTGGGCAGTGGGGCGTTTTTGTGCGTCGGTGATGTTCGATGCCCCTTTTTTGTAGGTGACCGTGTACTGGAAGTTTGACTCGAGAAAATCGAGCCAGCGAATCTGTCGTGGGTTGAGGTGGGGCTGTGCGCGGAGGTACTGTAGCGATTTATGGTCTGTCCGTACTGTCACGTCTGCGCTGGTCAAGTAGCGTGTGCACGATCACGAGCATTTCGCGGTCGTGTATCGGGTAATTCTTCTTGGGTGGATGCAGTTTTCGTGATTCGTAGGCGATGGGCTGTAGGCCGTTGTCGAAGTCATGTAGCAGTACAGCTCCGATGGCGATGTCGCTTGCGTCAGTTACTACCTCGAACGGGCGGTGTGGGTCGGCGATACGCAATACTGTCGGTGAAGAGAGGATTTTTTTCAAGGCAGAGAAGGCAGCATGCTCTTTCTCCCCCACGTAAAACCGACCCCCTTCCGCAGCAGATTCGTCAGTGGGGCTATTAACCGGGCCATGTCGGGGACGAACCTGTCAAACTCATATGTTATAGTCTGTGTAGGCTGTAGTGGGGTAGACAATATCGGGTACAACACTTGTAGGTTTTCCTACTTGTACCCACCTGTTTGCCAGTGCATCTCATTCCTCATTTCTTCACATGGTATAGAGCAGGTTCCCTAGTGGGAACGCTTCCTAGGGCCCACCACTGGAAAATCGAAATTTTTTTTCTGACCGGAGCGCGAGTCGCCCCTGCTCGAGGCGCGCACCGTGGGCCGCCCTCTCGTCGCGTCCCCTGCCCTTAGCGGCCCGTCGCGCCCTTCTATAGGCCCCTCTCACGGCCCCTCGCGCCACCCCTAGCGGCCCCGTCGCCGCCCTTCGCGGCCCGTCGCCGCTCCTCACGGCCCCGTCGCCACCCCTAGTGGCCCCGTCGCCACCCTTCGCGGCCCCGTCGCCGCCCCTAGCGGCCCCGTCGCCGCCCCTCGCGGCTCCGTTTCCGCCCCTCGCGGCCCCGTCACCGCCCGTTACGGCCCCGTCGCCGCCCTTCGCGGCCCCGTCGCCGCCCCTAGCGGCCCCGTCGCCGCCCTTCGCGGCCCCGTCGCCGCCCCTATCGGCCCCGTCGCCGCCCTTCGAGGCCCCTCGCGGCTCCTTCGCGGCCCCGTCGCCGCCCCTTCTTGGCCCCGTCGCCGCCCTTCGCGGCCCCGTCGCCGCCCCTAGCGGCCCCGTCGCCGCCCTTCTTGGCCCCTCGCGGCCCCTTCGCGGCCCCGTCGCCGCCCCTAGCGGCCCCGTCGCCGCCCTTCGAGTCCCCTCGCGGCCCCTTCTCGGCCCTGTCGCCGCCCTTCGTGGCCCCGTCGCCACCCTTCCCGGCCCCTTCTCGGCTCCTCCGCCACCAGCAGCAGCCGCCGCCAGCAGCAGCAGCCGCCGCCGCCAACAGCAGTCCACGGCAGCAGACGCCGCCGACAGCAGCGGCGGCCGCCACCAGCAGCAGCCGACGCCGCCGACAGCCGCGACTGCCGCCGCCACTGACAGCAGGAGCTGCCGCCGCGGTCGCGGCTCTGTCCCTGCCGACGCGCCTCGGCCCTGCCCCACCGCTTGCCGGCCCCTACCTACCAGCCCTGGTGAGAGCACTGCCGAGCCACGCCTGCTACTGCTGCCCCTAGCCTGCTGCCACTGCTGTCATGGCTACCCCTAGCATTCTAGTCTTTGATGCTGAGGGTCAGGCTGTTGACTTTGAGGTCTGGGTCGATGATTTACAGCTTTTCCTACAGTGCGATAGGAAGGACGGTCTCTCACTGTTCGATCTCACGTCTGGCGCCTCTGCTGCCCCTGCTGCCGATGCTGACAGCACTGTTCGCTCACAGTGGGCCACACGCGATGCTGCTGCCCGTCTTGCTGTGCGTAGTCACTTACCGTCCACTGAGCGCGCGCACCTTAGTCATTACAAGAGTGCTAAGACCTTGTACGATGCTGTAGTTGCACGCTACTCTTCCCCTGCCACTGCTGCCCTTTGCCGCCTCATGCTGCCGTACCTGTTTCCTGACCTCGCCGCCTTTCCCACAGTCGCTGACCTCATTACGCACCTTCGCACTAGTGACACCCGCTACCGCGCTGCGCTTCCTGCTGAGTTCTGCGCCAAGAACCCCCCCCCCCATGTACATCACCCTCTACTACATAGTCACCCGGCTCCCTGACTCCCTTCGCTCGGTCAGGGACCACTTCCTCTCTGTTTGCCCCACCACACTCACCGTTGACCTCCTCGAGGAGCGCCTCCTGGCAGCTGAGAAGAGTATAGTCGCTGTAGGAGCCTCTCGTGGTGACCCTCGTGCCCCCTTCTTTGAGGGGTGCTCCCCCTCCCCCCTTTTGCCCTCTGTTGCCTCTGCTGTTGCCGTCGACTTCGTTGGCACCGAGTCGGTCGGCGCTGCGTCTGCCCCTAGCGGGAGACGCCGCACCGGCAAGGGCAAGGGGGGCAAGGGCGCTGGAGGGGCTGGCAGGGGCGGTGGAGGTGGCGGTGGAGGCGGCGGAGGGAGTGGGGGTGGCGGTGGGAGTGGCGGCGGGGGTGGGGGCTTCGGTGGCGGCGGTGGAGGCGGCGGCGGCGGCGGCGGTGGCGGTGGGAGCGGAGGAGGAGGCGGTGGC